TAAGTTAGCTTAGGTTAGGTAGGGTTGGTTAGGTTCGGTCATATATCTACGTTAATTATAACTCAAATAAAAAAAAATTGACCTCATACATAATGAAATGGGTAGCTTTATCATTTCATAAGAAAAAAATTAGAGAAAATATATTAATTCATGAAAACTTGGCTTATTAGGCAAATCGTCCCTTGCATAGTAGGCTGAGAAGTGCATTCTGGCTACTAGGTACGACATATATATATATATATATATATATATATATATATATATATATATATATATATATATATATATATATATATATATATATATATATATATATATATATATAATATTTATGATGGATGTTACCTTTGGGAATTTTAATTTTAAGATGAATAGGAAAACCAGGGATATACTGATTATCTTGTTTCAGATTCTTTACATTAAAATGCATAACGTTTCGAATATTTCTCGTATTCATCATCAGATCTAAAAGAAAAAAACAGAAATCACAGTCAAATAACTGGTAAACAATGAACTCAAACTGAATGCAATTGACTATCAAAGAAAGGTAAATGATTAAAAAAACAAAACGGTTAAGCTTACTTAAAGTGATCAATACAAATAAAACTTATTAACTGTCACATAGATAAAAACTGATTCAAAAAGCCATTAAATTACAAGAGGAATTTTATAACTTCTAAAACAAACCATACTCTTAAACTTACGCGAAGTGATGAACAGGAGGGAAACTTGATAGCTAACACATAGATACAAAACACTATTACAAATACTCATATAATGACTATAAATCTACAAAAAATGTATATAAAATGCAAGCAGAATAAGCGACAATTATAAAGTTCTAACCAAAATCTTATAAAAACTCAATTATTAAACAAATCTAAATACCAAAAACTGTATTATATATCCTAAATAAACAGATTATAATAATGTACAATGTCAAGACTTACAATAAGTAAGAAAAGGCAAAGACATGGTAAACTAAATAAAATTAAACTGCCAGAATGAACTATAAATCAAATTACAGGTCCTACTGTGCACTATACAGTGTACAATTGAACAGCCTAAAGGTTGCTATTTATCAGAGGCCGCAGCTCCTTTATATATAAGGATTCCATTACTCTCAAATCTGACTGGCCAGTCATACAAGTGTCCAGAATTTTAAAATCAGATTCCAGCAGAGAATGATTAAACTCTTAACAATGGTTTCTAATCTCCGAAAATGCTGGCTTAGATAATGGTAATCCAGTCCTAAAAGATACTCCCCGGTGCTCAAGTATCCTAATCTTAAAGTTCCGAATGGAACTCCCGATATATCCATCATTACAGCTGGAACAATTATACATATATATACGACATTAGAGAACAGGGGGTAGGCACTTTATCTTTAAATTTAAAATAAGAGCCTATGGTACTTGTGTTGACAAAAATAAATCTAAAGTCTACTTGAGGATAACACTGCTGCAACAGTCTCCTCAAACGACTCCTTACAGAAAAACCAATAGTGCCATTAAATGGTAATTTAATATATTTAATATCCCTTTCTACTGCAGTAATCCTACACGATGGGTGAAACTTCTTACTTAAGAAATTCCATATAAAGGTATAACCCATATGCAAAGGATAACCATTATTTGAAAAAAAATTCACAAGAAAATTAATTTCTTGATCAAAGTTATTCCAATTTGAACATAAAACAAAGGCTCTATTCAGTAGAGTATTAAATGCATTTTTCTTAAAAATATCAGGAACAAAAGAATTAAAATTTAAACCTAAACCAGTAAAAGTTGGTTTTCTAAAAACATTAGTGTTGAACCCATTAAGGTTATTCACTTTGACATCAAGAAATGACAATGAATTATCCACTTCACATTCTGCAGTGAAACGTATATTACTATGTTGTGCATTAGGATACTCTCTAAATTTCTCAATATGACATTGGTCCTTAAATAACAAAAAAGTGTCATCTACATATCTCCTGTACAAGACTGGTTTAAAGTCCAAAGGACATTTATCAAGCCAATTTTTTTATGAAAACTCAAAAAAGCATTAGCAAATGCAGGACCTAAGGAAGACCCCATTGCTACTCCATCAATTTATTTATAATATATATTATTAAACATAAAGACAGAGTCTTTAACCGCTAATTCTAACAACCGTCTGAACATTTTACTACAAAATCCAGACACTAAATTAGTGTCAGCAAATAACTGATTAACACAAATATCAATGGTTTCCAACAAAGGAATATTAGTAAAGAGTAAACCTGTAATTTGATTAGTAATATTAGTAAACCTGTAATTTGATTTATAGTTCATTCTGGCAGTTTAATATTATTTAGTTTACCATGTCTTTGCCTTTTCTTACTTATTTTAAGTCTTCACATTGTACATTATTATAATCTTTTTATTTAGGATATATAATACACTTTTTGGTATTTAGATAATATTTGAGTTTAATATTTGAGTTTTTATAAGATTTTGGTTAGTACTTTATAATTGTCGCTTATTCTGCTTGCATTTTATATACATTTTTTGTAGATTTGTAGTCATTATATGAATATTTGTATTAGTGTTTAATATCTATGTGTTAGCTATCAAGTTTCACTCTTGTTGATCACTTCGCGTAATTTTAATAGATTGGTTTATTTCAGTAGTTATAAAATTCCTCTTGTAATTTAATGTTTTTTTGAATTAGCTTTTATCTATGTGACAGTTAATAAGTTTTATTTGTCTTGATCACTTTAAGTAAGCTTAAGTGTTTTGTTTTTTTATCATTTTTCTTTTTTTAATAGGCAATTGTATTCAGTATGAGTTCTTTGTTTACCAGTTATTTGATTGTGATTTCTGTTTTTTCATTTTAGATCTGATGATGAATACGAGAAGTATTCGAAACGTTATGCATTTTAAAGTGAAGAATCTGAAACAAGATGCTCAGTATATCCCTGGTTTTCCTATTCATCTTAAATATATGTATATATATATATATATATATATATATATATATATATATATATATATATATATATATATATATATATATATATATGTCGTACCTAGTAGCCAGAACTCACTTCTCAGCCTACTATTCAAGGCCCGATTTGCCTAATAAGCCAAGTTTTCCTGAATTAATATATTTACTATAATTTGTTTCTTATGAAATGATAAAGCAACCCTTTTCTCTATGTATGAGGTCAATTTTATTTTATTGGAGTTAAAATTAACGTAGATATATGACCGAACCTAACCAACCCTACCTAACCTAACCTAACCTATATTTATAGGTAAGGTTAGGTTAGGTAGCCAAAAAAAGCTAGGTTAGGTTAGGTTAGGTATGTTAGGTAGACGAAAAAACATTAATTCATGAAAACTTGGCTTATTAGGCAAATCGGGCCTTGAATAGTAGGCTGAGAAGTGCATTCTGGCTATTAGGTACGACATATATATATATATATATATATATATATATATATATATATATATATATATATATATATATATATATATATATATATATATATATATATATATATATATATATATATATATATATATATATATATATATATGTCTTCCGAAGGTTTCCGTTTTTACCACGAATTCTCCTCTCTTTAGCATACCTTATCCCTAGTCTCAATCCCCTAGAACCCCACCCCCCTCCTTGCCCCTATCATAATCTTACCCATCACTCCCTTTCAGCCATGGTTACACCCTCTTCCTTTCGCTCATAAATTAATTATTCGGAAGCACTGGAATATCTGTGTACATCTCACAGGAAATATATTAAGATTCCTGAAAACTTCAGTGAAGTCTTATATATTAGGATCACCACCATGTATTTCACACTTGCCTCGATAAAAATCGCATGTAGTTCTCAGTAAATGATAATATTTATTAAGGAATTTATATTAGGCAGACCCCACTTCCTGTCGATTCAGTAGAATCCAGTTAATATAACTTTTTCGAGGTCAGTATGGTACAGCAGTAGAGGTTGCGGCTGGCAGTACTCTTGTCGCGGGTTCGAGTCACCAAAGAGCTCCAGTTGATTTTCTCATTGATATATCACAATAATATGATTTCTCTGTGAAAGCAATTCTAATAAATACATTTCCTCTGAACCGCAACACAACCTGCGACCAGTACGCGAGCTACTCCTATGAGCATTAAATACACGTTATTATTTAACCTTCCATATATCTCGATGCAAAAGAGTTTTCCAGATGAACTTTCCGCACGTGACTTACATTTGGTCAGGGGCGAGTCCGTGTCTTGAGTACGAAAACCCAGAACCCATCAGTGTCAAGGTCAGAATGAAGGTGCATCACAAAAATGAATTGTTCTGGTATGAATCGCGGTGTTTAGTGTGTATTCTAGCCAATTATCAGATGACTTTGTTTACATTTCCAGCATTCAGAAGGTTATACAAATTAATGTTTGGTGGTGTTCACTAATAGGAATATATAGCCATGATGCAGTAAAAACTTTTAATTGCAGTCGTAACTTACAGCAGACAACCAGAATATCTAAAGATGTGAAGACTAATCGTCTGCGTATCTAAATAAGTTTTTTCAAATGGGTTGAAAGTATAATGGTCATATTAGAAACGAGTGAATACTGATTTGCGATACCTTACTTGGCATCAGTATTGACCCTGGCTGAGGCACTGGACACCGTGGCTGAGGCACTGGACACTTTTATATCGACACCGTCGATATAAAAGACGCGCCGCTTCATCTTGGCATCAGTTCACTTCGAGCCTTGTTACAGCCAACATCATGGTATGAGATAATTGCTTGAAGCCGGTTATCATTACAGTGGAAAATTTTTATTTAATATTTTTAGTTACCTTGTTGTACATTGAAATATATTACAAAATTAATAGTAAATATATTGAATACTAATATGAATCATAGGGAATGAAAGCATGTAATTGGATGTAAATTGTTTATTCATCTCTGATATATATATAAAAAAAATATTAATTTTCAGAAGCTGGTGATAGTGTCGATGAGTGTTGCCGTCCTGGTGGCCTCCAGTTGTGCTGAGCCTGAAGTGAGTTCCTTCTCCACTTCCACGACCGCAGGTGGAGGCTTTGGGCTCTCCAGCCCGAGCATCGGAAGAGGCTTCGGCTCATTTGGTGAAGGAACGCGCCACGGTTCCTTTGGAGGTGTTGGTGGAGGCTACGGTTCCGGAAGCGGCGTCACAAGTCATTCCATTTTCAACCTTGGAGCGCCCCAGGGTGGATCCGGAGGCAGCTTTGGACATGGAGGATCCTCTAGCCTAGGTTTCGGTAGCAGCTCTCTTGGTGGTTATGGTGGCAGCTCCTTTGGTGGAGGTTTCGGTGGAAATTCCTTTGGTCGAGGATTTGGTGGCAGCTCTCTTGGCGTTAGTTACGGTGTCAGCTCCCTGGGTGGTTTTGGTGGCAGGTCCCTCAGCAGTGGCTACGGTGGCAGCTCACTTGGTGGAGGATTCGGTGGCAGGTCCCTGGGTGGTTTTGGTGGTAACTCATTTGGTGGAAGATTCGGTGGTGGCTCTACTGGCAGCATCGGGGCATCATATGGGAAATAAATATAAGAACTGAACGAGCATGAAACTGTAACAAGTTATGGAATTCTTTCAAATTGTATTTATATTTTTCTAGCACTCCAAACTCAACTTTCCGGCACTCAGAATTCAACATTCCAGCACTCAAAAGTCAATATTCCTGCACTCAGACGTCAACATTGCAGCACTCACAGGTCAACATTCCAATATTCAGAATTAAAAATTCCAGCACTCAGAAGTCAACTTTCAAGCACTCAGAAGTAAACATTCGAATGAAATCATCTGCAATTAAAAATTTAGTTAAATTACTTCATGAGGCCATAAATCTCAGAAGGTTTGAAAGAGACATCAATATATAAACAGTATCTCAATATGCTTTATATGTTATTCACAAACTGTTTTGTATAAAATTGTCTATATTTGAGCACAAAATATGATATTATGATGAAAACAAATAAATAGAACTATATTGAATTGCCTTCCTTTAATCCTTTACGTTAGATTCGAACAAAAAGTTCCAAGTAGCACGGGTTATGGTGAGGCCGTACTTGATTCAATGCCGTGTATTGAGCACTAGACATAATGACCAATATTTATGTTTGTTCACTTCTCCGGTCTTAATTTCAAAGAACACCCGGAGGAAATTCATTGGCGATTGATTAACCATCAGATATTTTGACAATCATGTTATGGGTCACTAACAAGAAACAGTAAAACATTCCATCCACTTCTCACCTGAATTGTTTTTACCCTTATTACTATATGACTGACGCTTATAAATGCTGTGTAAAGTCACATTGAAGCAGTAGCGGGAACCACAGAGGACCTGAAGAAAGATTCCCAAATACATTGACCTCTCTGAACAAAATTACAGTGCGTTTGTGATACATTTCACCTCAGTAGCTATTGATAGAATATATATGAATATCTTGCATTGTAACTTTCCTGGGAAGATGTTCTTGAACGTTTTCATTATCTCCTTGCTCTTAAAGGTATCTGATCCATATAATTCAGTCTCGAGACTCAAGCTGGCTATACTAGGCATGTAGAGTCAACCAGTCCTCACTGGGAAACTCTATGCTCGGCACATATTATTGCATGTTATCACAGAAGCTATTCGCTCTAAACTATTCCAATAATTATGGTTAATTGATGCAGTCGTTCCTGCGTTATGCAATAGAGAAACTTCCAGACGTAGCCCCTTGAAGAAACAAGTAGCTGTGATAGGCAAGGGGTGTTTGTGGAATGGAAGGCACGTGTGAGGCATGAGACAGGTTAGCAGAGGTATTCAGCAGGTGTACGGTTAAATAAACCCTTACTTCTTGGCTAGTGATTAGCCATGCCATGCTCTTCGATTATATAATAGTTGGTTCTACGTTCTCAGATTAATAATATGGTGATTGACTGACATTATTATAGGCAACAAAAACGTTTAGCGTAAAAAACTCAATGTAGTATCACATAAAACTATAATTAACTATCCATCAGGTTGTGACAAAAATATTATTTACATTCTGTTTTTTGGGGGCTACAGTTGATGAGCATATACGGTGAGCTCATCAACTACGATGAGCAGCGGGTGAAAATTACCCTGAGGCATATAGTGCATAAAAATATTTGATGCACAAGTTATATAATCACCAAGTGACGAGAATATAGAGTGTACTCACACACACATATATTGAGAATATGGGATGTTCAATAACCGAAAAAGGAACTTGTGGATGTTCAATAACCAAAGAAAATAGGACCTTTCACTTGATTTCGTAAATGCACCTACGGATGATAATATACATGCTGCATTGATAAAATACCATGCCCAAGATTACCATCAGAGTGCCGGCGGGAGGATGGGGAATTAGCCTCGGCTACCATCCTCTTTTGTCCTGTCGTGATGGTCGAGTGGTTAAGGGATCCTGTCCATCAGTTGCAGGGTGCTTCTGGCAGTATGGGTTCGAGTCACTTCTGGGGTGTGAGTTTTCGGTTGCATATATGCCTGGAGACCGTTCAGGCTTGTTTGCATTTGTGTTCCTCACGTGTGCCCCAAAGAATGAGGTGATTTGATAAAATATTATGCCCAAGATTACCATCCGAGTGCCGGCGGGTGGGTGATTCAAATAGCTTCGGCTATCACCTCTTTATGTCCGGTCGTGATGGTCGAGTGGATTAAGGTGTCCTGTACACACCAGTTGCGTTGCTCCTGGCAGTATGGGTTCGAGTCACTTCTGGGGTGTGAGTTTTCAGTTGCATATAGTCCTGGGGACCATTTAGGCTTGTTCGCATTTGTGTTCCTCACGTGTGCCCCAAAGAATGAGGTGATTTGATAAAATACTATTCCCAAGGTTACCATCCGAGTGCCGGCTGGGGGGGGGGGGGGAAGGTGGTTCAAATACCTTCGGCTATCACTTTCTTATGTCCGGTCGTGATAGTCGAGTGGATTAAGGTGTCCTGTACACATCAGTTGCATTGCTCCTGGCAGTATGGCTTCTATATATATATATATGCGAACAAGCCTGAATGGTCCCCAGGACATATATATATATATATATATATATATATATATATATATATATATATATATATATATATATATATATATATATATATGTCGTACCTAGTAGCCAGAACTCACTTCTGAGCCTACTATGCAAGGCCCGATTTGCCTAATAAGCCAAGTTTTCATGAATTAATTGCTTTTCGACTACCTAACCTACCTAACCTAACCTAACCTAACTTTTTCGGCTACCTAACCTAACCTAACCTATAAAGATAGGTTAGGTTAGGTTAGGTAGGGTTGGTTAGGTTCGGTCATATATCTACGTTAATTTTAACTCCAATAAAAAAAAATTGACCTCTTACATAATGAAATAGGTTGCTTTATCATTGCATAAGAAAAAAATTAGAGAAAATATATTAATTCATGAAAACTTGGCTTATTAGGCAAATTGGGCCTTGCATTGTAGGCTGAAAAGTGAGTTCTGGCTACTAGGTACGACATATATATATATATATATATATATATATATATATATATATATATATATATATATATATATATATATATATATAGAAGGGATACCTTACTGTTCCCATATGTGTTCCCACTTTTTCCGTTCTTACCACGTATTCTCCTCTCTTTAGCATTTCTTCCCATGGACCCCAGGTCTCAATCCCCTAGGATCCCCCCTCCCCTCCCTTTGTTCCTATCATAGTCTTACCCATCACCTCTCTGCAGCTATGCCTACACCCTTTTCCTGTCGCTCAGAAAATTAATTATTCGAAAGCAGTGGAATATCTGTAAACATCTCAAAGGAAATATATTAAGATCCCTGAAAACTTCAGAATATATATTAGGATCACCACCTTGTATTTCACACTTGCCTCGATAAAAATCGCATGGGGTTCTCAATAAATGATAATATTTATTAAAGAAATCAAATTAGACCGATCCCACTTCCTGTCGATTCAGTAGAATCCAGGGTTGTATAACTTTTTCAAGGTCAGTGTGGTACCGAAGTAGAGGTTGCAGCTGGTTGTACGCTGGTAGCGAGTTCGAGTCACCTAAGAGTTCCAGTTGATTTTCTCATTGACATATTACAATAAATTTATTTCTCTCTGTGTAAGCAATACTATTGCTACCACTTCCTCTGACCCCCAACACAACCTACGACCAGTTTCCGAGCTACTTCTATGAGCATTAAGTACACGTTACTATTTAACCTTCCATATAACACGATAAGACAGAGTTTTCCAGATGAACACTTGGCACGAGACTTACATTTGGTCAAAGGCGAGTCCGTGTCTTGAGTACGAAAACCCAGCACCCATAAGTGTCAAGGTCAGAAAGAAGGTACATCACAAAAATCAATTATTCTGGTATGAGTCGCGGTGTTTAGTATATATTTTAGTTAATTATCAGACGACTTTGTTTACTTTTCCAGCATTCAGAAGGTTATATAAATTAATGTTTGATGGTGTTGACAATTTGGAATATATAGCAATGATGCAGTAAAATGTTACAAACGCAGTCATAGTTTACAGCAGACAAGCGAAATAACTAAAGATGTGAAGACTAATCGTCTGCGTATCTAAATAAGTTTTTTTCAAATGGGTTGAAAGTTAAATGGTCATATTAGAAACGAGTGAATACTGATTTGCGATATCTTACTTGGCATCACTATTGACCCTGGCTGAGGCACTGGACACTGGCACCGTCTATATAAAAGACGCGCCGCTTCCTCTTGGCATCAGTTCACTTCGAGCCTTGTTACAGTCAACATCATGGTATGAGATAATTACTTAAAACCGGTTATCATTATAGTGGAAAATTTTCATTTATTATTTTTGTTACCTTGTTGTACATTAAAATATATTACAAAATTACTAGTAAATGTATTGATTGCTATCATGAATCATAGGGAGTGAGAGCGTGTACTTGGATGTAAATTGTTTATTCATCTCTGATATATAAAAATGTTTATTAATTTTCAGAAGCTGGTGATAGTGTCGATGCTTGTTGCCGTCTTGGTGGCCTCCAGTTATGCTGAACCTGAAGTGAGTTCCTTCTCCACCTCCTCTACCGCAGGAGGAGGCTTTGGACTCTCCAGCCCGAGCATTGGAGGAGGCTTTGGCTCATTTGGTGAAGGAACACGTCACGGTTCCTTTGGAGGTGTTGGTGGAGGCTACGGTTCCGGAAGCGGCGCCACAAGTCATTCCATTTTCAACCTTGGAACGCCACAGGTTGGATACGGAAGCAGCTTTGGACATGGAGGATCTTCAAACCTAGGTTTCGGTAGCAGCTCTCTTGGTGGTTATGATGGCAGTTCCTTCGGTGGAGGTTTCAGTGGCAATTCCTTTGGTCGAGGATTTGGTGGCAGCTCTCTTGGCGGTAGTTACGGTGCCAGCTCCCTGGGTGGTTTTGGTAGCAGGTCCCTCAGCAGTGGTTTTGGTAGTAACTCATTTGGTGGAAGATTCGGTGGTGGCTCTATTGGCAGCATCGGAGCATCGTATGGGAAATAAATATAAGAACTGCAAGAACATGAAACAGTAATGAGATTTGGAATTCTTTCAAATAGTATTTATATTTTCCAAGCTCTCCAAACTCAACTTTCCAGCACTCAGAATTTAGCATTCCAGTATTCTGAGGTCAACATTCCAGCACTCAGACGTCAACATTCCAACACACAGAAGTCAAAATTCCAGAACTCAGAAATCAACTTTCAAGCACTCAGAAGTAAACTTTCGAATGAGATCATCTGCAATGAAAAATTGAGTTAAATTACTTTATTTGAGGTATAAATCTCAGAAGGTTTGAAAGAGACATCAATATATATGAACAGTATCTCAATATGCTTTATATGTTAATCACTAACAGTTTTTATGTATAATTTTCCATGTTTGAGCACAAAACATGTTATCATTATTAAAACAAATAAATAGTACTATATTAAATTGGCTTCTTGTAATCCTTTATGCTAGATTCAATGCACTGTATTGTGCACTAGGCACAATACTCAGTATTTTTCGTTTGTTCACTTCTCTGGTCTTATTTTCAAAGAACACCTGGCAGAAATTAATTGGCGATTGATTAAACATTAGATATTTTGACACTCATGTTACGGGCCAGTAAAAGAAACAGTAAAATACTCCACCACCTCTCACCAGAATTGTTTTCACCCTTATTACTACTTAATTGACGCTTACAAATGTTGTCTGTAGTTACATTAAAGCAGCAGCCGGAACCACAGAGGATCTGAAGAAAGATTCCTAGATCCATTGACTTCTCTGAAAAAAATGCAGTGCTTAAGTGACACTTTACACCTCAGTAGCTATTCTTAGGATATATATATGAAATATCATGCATTGAATCTTTCCTGGGAAGACCTTAAATGACTTTATTATATCCTTGCTCATAAAGGTATCCGATCCATAACCTTCAGTCTCAAAACTCAAGCTGGCTATACTAGTGGTAGGGTCAACCAGTCTTCACCGGGGAGTACTGCACTTGTCACATGCGATGCTAAGCAGCATTTTTCATGTTATCATAGGAGCCATTCGCTCATAACCAGAGCAATAATTATGACTAATTGATGCAGTCGTTTCTGCGTCAAGCAATAAAGAAACATACACACGTAGTCTTTGAAGAAACAAGTAGGTGGGATTGGTAAGGGGTGTTTGAGTACTGGAACGCAAGTGTAAGGCATGTGACAGGTTAGCATTGGTATTCAGAAGAAAGTATGGTGAAATAAACCCTTACTTGTTAGCTAGTGATTAGCCTTTCCATGCTCTTCGATCCTACAATAGTTGGTTCCACGTTCCCTGATTAACAATGTGGTGACTGACTGACATTATTGTCGAAAGAAAAAAGTTTAAACTGAAAACTTAACTCTGTAGCCTTTCAAATTATAATTAATTATCTATCGGTTTGTGACAAAAAAATATTAGCATTCTGCTAGTTTTTGGGGCTACAGTTCAAGTGATGAGCAGTGGGTGACACTTACCTAGAGGCATAAAGTTAAAAAAAAATTACTGATGCATAAGATATTTAATCACCAGGTGAAGAGCATATTGTGTATACACACACACCATATAGTGAGCCTATAGTGTTCAATAACCAAAGAAGAATCATGTTGGTGCTCAATAACCAAAGGAACTTGGATCCATAGCAATGAAGAAGTAGGTGGAAGATGTACTGGACTGAAATGACAAACATGTCCCTTGATACTGAGTTTGTAAAAGACATAGTAAGTCTGAGGAACTATATACTGGGTCTCCCGGAAAGGACACCTGGAACTGAACGAACATAGTAGTAGCACAATGAAATTTTCAGTAATATTGAAAGGAATGTTTTAGCTGCAAAAAATAATTGAGAGTGAGATCTACAGTATTTATTCGCATATGGCATCTGAAACTATGATACTGAGGACATGCTTGCAAAAAATAGCCAGAATATAATGAGTAGAGTAAAGTATTACATATGTATCATACCCAACTCCCTTCCCTTCTCTGTCACCCTCTCACTCGTCTCTCTCTCTCTCTCGCTCTCTCTCTCCCTCTCTCTCGTCTCTCTCTCTCGTCTCTCTCTCTCTCTCTCTCTCTCTCTCTCTCTCTCTCTCTCTCTCTCTCTCTCTCTCTCTCTCTCTCTCTCTCTCTCTCTCTCTCTCTCTCTCTCTCTCTCTCTCTCTCTCTCTCTCTCTCTCTCTCTCTCTCTCTCTCTCTCTCTCTCTCTCTCTCTCTCTCTCTCTCTCTCTCTCTCTCTCTCTCTCTCTCTCCTACAACATCGAACAAAAACACATTTCCAGTTATTTATATTGAAGGGACACCATGCTGTACGCGGATTTATCCCTCCCCTTCCCCCCCCCCCCTCTTTCCGTCCTTACATATATTCTCCTCTGTTCAGCATATCTCCTTATGTACCCCCTAGTCTCAGTCCCCTTGGAAACCCTTCGTCCCTATCATCGTCCTCCCCATTTTATTTTTTCCTTGAGGGGCGAGTTTACTGGGCAGCGCCACTCATCCTGTGAGTGGACATACACCAAAGCAGCATGTACAACACTCCCCAATAGGAAGAAAACCCGCTATGTTGTTCATCCTGTCACTTGTACCCAGACACAGCTTGGACTTGCCTGACTGTCTTAAGCGAACAGCTCCTCAAACAAGAAGATTAACATCTCTTAACCCATAAAATCTTACGTTATCTTGCGGGTGCAAAATGGGTGAATCTTTTAAGAGGGGGATCCACAGAAACATGACGACTCTTCCTAGGGTTGTTAGTCCCTTCACAGCTCTCTTAATTTCAGCGACTATCGCAAGCTTTTCTGCCCGATTTTTACTTAGGCTTTGTAGCGCTGCTTTTGAATTCGTACTCTCGTTCGCCATTAGTGTTTCGTTGAAGGAATCTTAATGCCATAACAATGGCAGTTAGCTCTGCTAGCGTTGAAGAGGCATAGTTCTCAATGCATGCTTTTTCTTCATCTCTGCATTGAGAGGCATTATTTCTGATTACATTGTATGCTGCACCAGCCTTGCCATTGACAGGGTTAGATGACCCATCAGTGTAGATTTGATATAATTCATCTCCGGCTTCATTTTATATTTCCTGAAGATACTTGTGACTCATTTCTTGTGGTATCATGTTGGATCTTGCCATTTCTTTGATGATAATCCTACATGAGTCATCCTCCCAAGGCTCTATGTCCAATCCAGGTAATAGCTTTCAGTGCCCTGAGTCGACTTTTACATGTTCCTATGAGATTAGGTGAGCTCCTCTTTCTTCCTCTTGTTACAGCCGACAGTGACGCCAAGGTACCGATAGTGGTCAACCCATTCAAGTATTACACCATTAATTTGTTGTTCTTCATTTTCTCCCCGCTTGTGAGGAGAGTATGCTTTTGTCTTGTTTGTGGTAAGAGTGAAACCGAGCCCAATACATTTCCTTCTAAGGAATTTAATTGACTGTTTAATTTTTCTCAAGGTTGGGGCTTGTATTAGAACATCATCTGAATATCCCACTTGTTGTGTTCCTTCCGGAAAATCAATATTTGCAATTGCGTTCATAAGTACATTAAATAGTGTGGAGGCTTAAGACCCCTCCTTGGGGGGTCACGAGCTTCATATCCCCATCTTCAATCCCTTTTCACCATTTCTTTCCCTCCTTCCTTTCGCTGAGAAAATTAATTATTAAGTAACACTAGAAGATCTGTATAGGTCTCACAGAAAATATATTATCACTGAAATCTTAAGTGGAAACTTTTAAAAATATATTAAGATCACCACCATGTATTTCACACTTGACTCGATGAAAATTGCACGTGGTTCTCAATAAATTATACTATTTATTAAAGAATTTTAATTAAACCGGCCCCACTTCCTGTCGATTCAGTAGAATCCCAGGATATATAATTTTTTCAAGGTCAGGGTAGTGCAGCAGAAGAGGTTGCGGCTGACAATATGCTGGTCGCGGGTTCGAGTCTCCTAAGAGCTCAATTTTGTTTTATCAATGATATATATCACAATAGAATTATTTTCTCTGTGTTCTCATTACTAATGCTACCATTTCCTGTGAACCGCAACAAAACCTGCGACCAACACGAGCAACTACTATGAGTATTAAATACACGATACAATTTATTCTTTCATATATCACGAGATGTAAAAGTTGTCCAGATGAACCCTTCGCACGTCACTTACATATGGTCAATGGTGAGTCCGTGTCTATAGTACGCAAACCCAGCACCGATCAGTGCCAAGGTCAGAATGAAGGAACATCGCAAAACTTAATTATTTTGGTATAAATTGCGATATTTAGAATGTATTCCAGCCAATTATCAGATGACTTCTTTTTACCTTTCCAGCTTTCAGAAGACTATATGAATTAATGTTTGGTGGTGTTGACTACTAGGAATATATAGGCATAATGCAGTAAAAAGTTATAAATTCAGTAATAGTTTACAGCAGACAACCAATATATCTAAAGCTTTTTTTCAAATGGGTTGAAAGTAAAATGGTCATATTAGAAACGAGTGAATACTGATTTGCGATGCCTTACTTGGCATCACTATTGACCCTGGCTGAGGCACTGGACACTGGCACCGTCGATATAAAAGGCGCGCCGCTTCCTCTTGGCATCAGTTCACTTCGAGCCTTGTTACAGTCAACATCATGGTATGAGATAATTGTTTGAAACCGGCTTTCGTTATAATGGAAAATTTTCATTTTTTTTTGTTACCTTGTTGTACATTACATTACAAAATTAGTAGTAAATATATTGCTAGCATGAATTATAGGGAGTGAAAGCGTCTGCTTTGATGTAAATTCTTTATTCATCTCTGATATATTTTTTTTTTATTAATTTTCAGAAGCTAGTGATAGTGTCAATGAGTGTTGCCGTCCTGGTGGCCTCCAGTTGTGCTGAACCTGAAGTGAGTTCCTTCTCCACCTCCTCTACCGCAGGAGGAGGCTTTGGGCTCTCCAGCCCAGGCATCAGAGGAGGCTTTGGTACATTTGGTGAAGGAACGCGTCACGGTTCCTTTGGAGGTGTTGGTGGAGGCTACGGTTCCGGAAGCGGCGTCACAAGTCATTCCATTTTCAACCTTGGAACGCCCCAGGGTGGATACGGAGGCAGCTTTGGACATGGAGGATCCTCTAGCCTAGGTTTCGGTAGCAGCTCTCTTCGTGGTTATGGTGTCAGCTCTCTGGGTGGTTTTGGTGGCAGGTCCCTCGGCAGCGGTTACGATGGCAGCTCACTTGGTGGAGGATTCGGTGGCAGGTCCCTGGGTGGTTTTGGTGATAACTCATTTGGTGGAAGATTCGGTGGTGGCTCTACTGGCAGCATCGGAGCATCGTATGGGAAATAAATATAAGAACCGCACGAACATGAAACCGAAATATGATAACGAAGTCTGTCAGATAGCATTCATATTTTTCCAGCACTCCATACTCAACTTTCCAGCACTCAAAAGTCAAGATTCCTGCACTCAGGAGTCAACATTCCACCACTCAGACGTTAACATTCCAACACTCAGAGGTCAACATTCCAGCACTCAGAAGTCAACATTCCAGCAATCAGAAGCAAACTTTCGAATTAGATCTTTTGTAGTGAAAAATTAGGTTAAATTACTTTTTTTGAAGCCATAAATCTCAGATGGTAAGAGACATCAATATATGAACGGTATCTCAATATGCTTTATATGTTAATTACGAACAGTCTTTATATATAATTTTCCATATTTGAGGACAAAATATGTTATCATAATTAAAACAAATAAATAGTACTATTCAGAATTATCTTCTTGTAATCCTTAATGCTAGAGTCAATGCAGTGTATTGTGCGCTAGGCACAATGATAAATATTTTTCGTCTGTTCCTTTCTCCGGTCTTAATGTCAAAGAATACCTGGAGGAAACTCATTGGCGATTGATTCAGCATAAGATATTTTGACGCAGAAGTCTGTCTGTATGCTGGAGTGTGACGGTAGGGGTCCGGATGTGTGCATGAGTGTAACGGTAGGGATCTAAATGTATGCTGGAGTGTAATGATAGGGTCTGGATGTATGCCTGAGTATGAATGTGGAGTGAACAGGTACGGTACCCTCGAGTTTGACAGCCGGAGAATGGATGTATTGTGAAGTGTATTGTGGAGCAAGGCTAAGAAAATGAACGATAGATTGGCCGATGAAGCATAAATGACAAAATTAATGAAGGATTCTCAAGATTGGCAATGGTAATAAAGTTAAAAATAAGTCATCCGGATAATGCCAAAATTCTGATATATGAATGCGTAAATGGTCATGGACTGATGAGATATAATTAATAATTCACTGTTTTGCGACTAATACATTATGAGGATTTTGTAATACTATTGATAAAACGATGAGCATCTAATGAACAATACTACAATGATGACCATCAAATGAACAATACTACAATGATGAGCATAGTATGACGAGCAACAAATTATTGCTACTTCCGACATACATTGTGATGGGTTATTTAAGGACTGCAGAGCACTTTTAGAGTCACAGAAAATAACTCCACCACCATTGAGCTTAAGGTATTCAGTGGCTAGATAAATACCCAATAGCTCGGTCTGTGTCGTGCTTGCCCAGTTGTTCAATCTCTGTGTACTAGTCATGATCATTTCATTCCCTTTATACACTGCACATGCACAACCTGTTCTACCAGTGCCTAACTGCACAGAGCCATCAGTAAAGGCATAGGATTCAGTCGGTTTGAGAATTTGAAGATGACTGTCAATAGCTTCTAATGTTATACATCTCAAAATGTCAGTGTTATACATTTGTTTTACACTGATGGGAGTATAATGCAGAGAGACCTCCACATCTTTCCAAGGGGGAATATAGTGAACAGTTTTATCAGGGTTAAGAGATACATTCAGTTTCTGAAGATTATAGGCACAACAACTGAGCCACACACTGTAGGGAGCTTTTTGCGGCGGATTAAACATAGAGAATGTATAATAATCAATTATTGAGCATATAAGATGTACAGTATGATATTGATGGGCATATAGGGAGCTCAATAGCGAAACAAAAAGCATTAGGTTAACAGTAACCAAATGAACTATAACCTTCCAGTAGGTTTTGTAAATGAACCTGAGAAGAAAGATGGAATATATGTAAAAACAATTAACAATAAAAAGCATTATTAAAGGTGCTTAGTTTACAGGCAATGACGTGTATTAGTGCAATTCTTGCGGCTATGAAGTAGGTCTAAGATATACTGCATCACATATAATCGATTGAAATAAACTTCTATCATTGATACAACATCGTAGCGGGTTAGATTTCTTCCAATATTGGTCTCCGAATGAATGATGGAACTGATGAGTTAGCCAAAACCTTTGCTCATTAGAGGGAATGGATTACCGTCTTGGACTGCCTTTGAGCAGCCTGAGGTCAGTAATATTCCGGGAACATCAACAAATTCTCGTAGACTTGAGGCAAAGGGAAATTTACGTCAGTTACCCCATCATCATTCTATTAAGCAGGAAGAACCGCACGACTATGGGTCTTCCTATAAGGTTAGCAAACCTCTAGATGTTACAACTGCTAGGTTTAGTCTCGGCAACAAGCACCTCAGGGAGTTTGCAACATCTGCTGATGTTGATTTGACTTAGTGTAAACTCTGTCAGCAGAGCTATTCACATACATTGCGTCATTATATAATGGAATGAGAAAAAATCGAGGAATTCCGAGATAACACCATCAGTGAAGCACAAGAAATATGGTAGTATTTAATTCATAATGATATGCTGCCTGGTATTTTGGGAAGAATTCAAAATTTGATAATTGTAGTTTTTTGTTTGTTTTGTTTTGCAGGAATATTCCTGCGCAGGCCCTAAACTGTAGGTAAGACTTGCATATGACTATAAAGCTGGCGCCCAGTTGGGTGGGTAAGGAGCAGGATTAGTAACTACGTGTCTCAGCATAGATGTAAAGTGCCTTGTATAGTGACTGTTGTGAGCCTCTTGTTGAATCACTTGTGATATATAAAAATTATTGACATGTATATGAACTTGAGTATATTATTGTATTTATATATACATATGTATGTAACATTAACAATGGTGTAACTAGCTTAAAAAATTGTCAATTTCTTAGTTAAATGAACTATTGGGTTCAATTCCCTAACCGATTATGTGCCTCTGAAACCCTTTCCACCACCGCCCACGGGATGGGTATTGGGTGCATAATAATACAAAAAAATGGTCACATTATGAGCTGCACAGCTCATATCGAACTTGCAGATATATATTTTGCCACTGAACTTGTAAAAGACAAATAAAGTCTGAAAATTTGTTTACTACAAATCAAAGAGCGCGAGTTTGGCACTTAACAGACAAAATAACAACACTGGAAATATTTATTCAATGATATTCTTATGAAAGGTTTAGCTTCTGAAGGAAATTCATATGAGATTTCATTCCTCTTCATGTTGGCATCTGAAGGCATGTCGCTCTTGACATGCTTAAAAAAAATACATCCATACCTCAAAATACAAAAATAAAAATAATAATACTAAACGTAATTTTATGTATTTCATTAACAATGATAGAAAACACTGAAGCAAGTGTCTGATGAAAATCTTACTGACTGATCAAATACACAATTCCTCAAAGCTGCAGCATTAAAATTTTTAACGAATACTGTTAGGAAATATTTATATATAGAATTAATAAATCAAGAACATATCAACGAGATGTTTTAGTCGGTCAGATATACCAAGGGTACAAGCGTTGTTCAGCTTTTCTGACATTGTGACGGTGATATTGAATACTTGATGTATACTGGAGTGTGACCGTAGGAGTCTGGATGTATGATGGACTGTGACGGTAGGACTGATTGTATGCTGGAGTGTGATGGTAAGGGTTTGGATGTACGATGGCGTGTGACGTTAGGCATCTTGATGAATACTGGAGTGTGATCGTAGGGGCCTGGATGTATGCTGGAGCGTGACGGTGGGAGCGAGGATGTACTGTAGCCTGGAGTTTGACAGCGGGAGAATGGATGTATGGTGAAGTGTAGTGGCAGGGATCCGGAAGTATGTTGAAGTGTGATGGCAGGGGTTTGGAAGTACGATGAAGTGTGATGGCAAGGGTCTGTAAATATGGTGAAGTGCAACGGTAGCGATCATAATGTCAGTTGGAGTATGACATAGGAGTATTGATTGAGATTAAACGTTGACGATTGGAGAGTTAATATTACTAATGGAGTGATTTTGAGAGTCTAGATTTATACTAGAGTGTGGCATTGGGAGTCTGGGTGTATGCGTGAGTGCTATGATGGTGCCTGGAAGAATGTTCGTCCTGACTTTTGAGAGCCTGGATGTACACTGCAGTGTGACAGTGGTGGAATACGTGACAATTGGGCGAGTGTAACAGTGAGAATTTTCAATGTTCATTCCCAGGTTTGCCCAGGCAATGATCGCTATCATAATGATAATGATGATGATAGGAATGACGACTAATTATCCACAATACCATACCACTGTCAGTGCTCGAGCTACTATGAAAATTTAATTCACGTAGATATTTGACTTTCCAGATATCATGTTAAGAAAGAAATTTGCGAGTGCACACGCCACATCGTGTGTACTCACTTTCATAGATCAGTGATGCTTCCGTGAATTGAGTACATGAAACGAACGCCCATCAGCGCCAAGGTCAGAGTTAAGAAACATCCAAAAACCTAATTGTTCTGGTATGAATCGAGGCGTTTAACGTTCATTCCAGCCAACTAACAGAATTAACTTTGTAAACCTTTTCAGCATGCTGAAGGCTATTGGATGAATGGTTGCCGGTGTTGTGTGCCTGGAATATCAGATCTATACAAGGAAATACTTATGTATGGGTTTTATAATACTACCTTCGTGCCATCACCTCTGACCCAGGAAGAGTTTCTGGTGACTGCTACCGTCGATATAAAAGGCGCGCCGCTTCTTCTTGAAGTCAGTTCACTTGGAGCCTTGCTACAGCCAACATTATGGTAAGACATAATTTACTTGAAGCTGGTTGACTATTAAAGTAGAAAAATTTAATTGGTTATATTTTGCTGCTTTGTTGAACATTAAAATCTATGATAGATCAAATAGAAAACAGATTGCCAACACATATTATACGCAGTATATGCGTGTACTTGATGTAATGCGTATATTCCTCACTGAGTTAAACTCATACTTTACTAATTTTCAGAAGCTGGTGATAGTGTCAATGAGCGTTGCCGTCCTGGTGGCCTGCAGTTGTGCTGAACCCGATGCAAGTTCCTACTCCACTTATCCTTACGCAGGTGGAAGCTATGGGCTCTCCAGTCCAGGCATTGGAGGAGGCTTCGGCTCATTTGGTGGAGGAACACGTTACGGTTCCTTTGGAGGTGTTGGTGGAGGAACACGTTACGGTTCCTTTGGAGGTGTTGGTGGAGGCTACGATTTGGGAAGCGGCGCCACGAGTCATTCCATTTTCAACCTTGGAGCGCCCCAGGGTAGATATGGAGGCAGCCTTGGAAGCGGCTTCAATAGAGGTTACATCGGAGGATCCTCTGGCTTAGGTTTCGGTGGCAGTTCCCTTGATGGAACCTACGGTGGCAACTTCCAAGGTGGAAGGCTCGGTGGAAACTCCTTTGGGAGTGGTTACGGTGGCAGCTTCCTTGGCAGTGGTTATAATGGCGGCTCCACTGGCAGAGTCGGTGTTTCATATTGGAAATGAATACGTGAATTGCACAAGCAAGTGAACATATAGATTCAAGGAAGTCTGACACCTCTTCTTTACATTTTTTTGTTTAGCACTCACATGACAACTTTCGTACAAAATAATTTCAAATAAAAAATTCAATGAAAAATTATTGGCTGTTTGATATGACGGTATAATTCCCAGTCATATGTAATTGGCATCAATACATCACAGTAGAGTTTATGTATGAATCAAGGTCCAAGTATGCATGTCTTATATCTTTTTTTATTATTATTAATGTAATTTAGAAGCAAAAATAAAGACTAATATAATACATATTGTTTTTATATCGTTAAAACATTAATGCTCATAATCAAGGCGTATATCTGCCAGCAAACTGAAGCTAGGCTGAGCAACGATATATTGGCAGATGAAGCATAAATGCTGAAAATGAATGATTCTCAGGATTGGTAATGGTGATAAAGTTAAAATATGTCTTCCAGATAATGCTGAAATTCCGATGTAAGGATGCGCAAATGGTCTGAAAGTCATAATTTATAATTACTAATTCACTGTTTTGTGACTAATACATTATGAACATTTTGTAGTACTATTGAGCTACCATATAAAGGATGAGCATGAAGTGTACAATACCCCAATGATGAGCAAAGGATGAAGAGTAACTAAGTATTAAGCATATAGAATGTATAGTAATGAATTATTAAGCATATAGGCTGAACAATGTGCAGTTGATGGGCATATAGGGAAGCACAGTAACGAAACAACAATGAACATGAAGTAAACAATAACCAATTGAACCAGAACCTGCCAGTAGGTTTGTAAATGGACCTGAGGAAGATAGAATACATGTTAAAACAATTAACAATAAAAAACATTATTAGGATTTCTTAGTTTGTAGGTAAGGGCGTGTGTTAGTGCTATTCTTACGGGTACGAAGTAGGTCTAAGATATACCGCATACACATATAATCGATTGAAACGATCTTCTGCCATTGATATAACGTAGTTGCGGGTGAGGTTCCTTCACTTATTGGTCTCCGAATGAATAACAGAACTGATGAATTAGCCAAACCTTTTGCTTATCAAGAGGGAATTGATTACCTTCTTGGACTGCCTTGACCAGCCTGAGGTCAGCAATATTACTGGATAAATAGCAAACTCTTGTAGACTTGAGGCAAAGTAAAATTCACACCAGTTATTCCATCTATCATCATTCTATTATACAGGAAAAACCGCACATTTATGGGTCATCCAAAAAAGGTTAGCAGACTTTTAGATGTTACCAATGCGAGGCTTAGTCTCCTCTACAAGTTCCTCTAGGAGTTTGCAACATCTGTTGATATAGATTTGACTAAGGGGCCCAGTGCATGAGGAGTATTTTTCTAAATATGAAATATAGTGAAAACTTTTAAACAAATTTCCCGTTATTTGGCATCAGCGTCGTGATAATTTCATCCTGGTTTGTTTAGAAATGTTTTTTTTTTACGATTTTTTTTAATAAATGTGTACAGGACGGGCGGCACCCGATACTGATAATAGCAATAACACCTATTATTTACTGGAAATCAGGGCTAAAGAGATGCAAACACCTGTCCGACGCACAAAGAAGAAAAGTAGTAGTAAGGAGAGTCCTCAAAGTGGACATGCAGCTGGTGCCACCTAGATGGACAGATTTCCCATATAATAATGAGTTACGTGTTATTATTCTGTATTTATTATATCTATATAAATAAAAATGTAAATGTTCGTTTGTTCAAAATCGCTAATCTCCGAAAGTTCTTCACCGATTGCTTTGAAATTTTCACAGAACGTTCCATTCGCATCCGAGCGGGTTTTTATATGCATATTATATAGATGTCTCGTCTGCAACAGGAAAATACAATTTTTTTTTTTAAACTGTGTTTTTCATATGTTTTTCAAGTGAGGGAAATCTTCGAAACCTCTTTACTGAATATTTTGAAATTTTGACACAACGTTGCATTCGAATAGGCGCATGTTTTTATATTTCTCCTATATACATGCCTCACCTGTGACAGGAAAAACATGCATTTTTTTAAATAGTGCCATCTGTTGGATGTAAGAGAAATACATGCTGTAATTTGCGAAAATTCTTCACCGATTGCTTTGAAATTTTAACACAACGTTAAAATATCCTTATGCAGGTGGCTATTAAAAAAAAATAGTTTTTTTCAAATCAAAAATCAAAAAATTTTCAAATCAAAAGAATTTCGTCAACATACTTGCAGTATATGGCGGTTTTTTTTACACAGGTACCTGATGTCAGACATCTGCAGGAGTTGAAGGAGGCATTTGAGCAGAATTCTGTGTTGCGTTTCACTTACGAGATGGAGAAGGATGGGAAGCTGCCCTTTCTAGATGTAACAGTCATGGAAAGGAGCGGAGTTTTCCACACTGCAGTCTACACTAAGGAAACAAACATAGGAATGTGCCTGAATGCCAACAGTGACTGCCCGGACAGGTACGAGAGGAGTGTTGTTAACGCTTACGTCGACCGTGCCCTCAGCCACAGCTCAGAATGGAAGCAAGTCGACGAAGAACTCTATAGGGTAAGGCAGGTCATAGTCAACAACGGCTTCTCCAATGGTTTCGTGGAAGACATCATAAGAAGGAAAGTGAAATGCCATGCAACCTCTGAAGAGACAACTAACACAACACTTATACCCCCTATTAGACTATTTTACAGGAACTTCTTTTCCACAGCCCATAAAACGGAGGAAAGGGTCCTGAAAGATATTGTCAGTAGAAACGTTATCCCTACAGACAAAAATCAGAAGATACAACTGACGATTTACTATAAAACCAGAAAAACGGCCAGCCTACTCATGAGAAACTTTCCAGACACAAAGCAGAACGCTTTAAAAGAGACCAACGTCGTCTATGCATTCAAATGCCCTCTTGGGGACTGTAAGCCTAAAAAAAAACAGTATATAGGCAAGGCAACAACATCTCTTTCCAGGCGTTTAACGATGCATAAGCAACAGGGCTCCATTAAGGAACATATAATCTCTTCCCACAAACAAACCATCACCAGAGAAATCTTAGCAAACAACACAGAAATCATCGATAGATACAGCGATAGCAGGCGGCTTGACGTCTGCGAGGCACAACACATCAAGAGGTCAACACCAGCAATCAACAGCCAATTAATGCACAACTATATTCTACCCACTTCAAGACTCCGCTCCAATATAGAAGCATCAAGAAATATGGACCAATAGGCTTTCTACAATTACTTCCATTCAATACCCATTGTTTCGTGTTCTGTCTTGTGTTTGAATTTAATACCCATTCAATACCCATTGTTTCGTGTTCTTTCTTGTGTTTGAATTTAATACCCAATCAATACCCATTGTTGAAAGTTTGTTTTCACCTCATCCACCTCACCCAAATGTAGATATAAAATCGAGGATGTGTAAGCTCTATTCAGTTTCAGTTGTGTGTTTGTAAACTAAAGTCTTTGAAAATGTAATACGTTTTACGAAACGCGCTTAAGTGTCGCGTCAGACTAGAAATAAAAATGAATTTTGGAGAATTACCATCAACAGTGAAAAGAAACGTAAGAAAGATCGAGAAAATTCGTGTTAGAATTATTAATCTTACTTTTTCGGTCATATTTAATAATATATGTCTACAGGAAAGGCTGCTACCAAAATATACTAATATAAAATATATATATATATATATATATATATATATATATATATATATATATATATATATATATATATATATATATATATATATATATATATATATATATATATATATATATATATATATATATATATATATATATATATATATATATATATATATATATATATATATATATATATATATATATATATATATATATATATATATATATTGTGACGATAATCTCCTTCAAGAGAGATTGAGCCTGCTCTTCCCTATATCAGTCACGTCATTCTACAAGTACAAGATGCTACATTAAAGATACGTCCACCAGCTGCACAAAACTTTTTGACCAGGAAGCAAAGCGTACCTTGCACCACCCGTCACGCCGGCTCACCGCCCGTCGTCAACGAGCTAACTACCCATTCTCCGCCTGCCTGCTCCTGATTGGCTGGTGTATCGCCGACAGCACACCTGCACCTGCACTCACGCCCTCTACCTGAGTCGACGTCTGGGCCAGCTCAAGCCGTCCTCCTCAGAATATTCCTGTACTCCTAGAAGTTGACATCTTTCTCTGGTATACTAAGCCCTGGCTGTCGTATACTAAGGGAGGTAGCAGCTATAGTCAATATTCTCGGCAAGTGATTATTATTGCATTGCACATTATTTTATTATAGAGTAAATTTTCATATCTAGTAATTATTCATGTTGTTTTGTTTGTTGACTTATTTAGAATTTTACATAAGCCAAGGGATTGTCTTTGTTCATATCTTGTTTTCTAAAGTAATTAAAATTTCATTGTTTATATTTTGTGTTTTACGTGTCTTCCCATTACCTTACCACAGACAAACAGGCAAGTAGTCTCTTTTTTTTTGTAAGTGTGACCAGGCATTGACACCTGCCATTGGAGGACTGCCGAACATCAACACTCCAACACTTTACTGTCACAATATATATATATATATATATATATATATATATATATATATATATATATATATATATATATATATATATATATATATATATATATATATATATATATATTTATATATATATATATATATATAATGAAAAAAATAAAAGACTATGATGAATAAAATAAAAATTGGTGACATTTTACTATTTTGAAAGCTAATTTTAAATTGTGAATTTTTTTCTGTTCTTTGTATGATGTTGATCTTTTAGGAAAAGTTGGAGCAATAATTATAAAGATACTACAAAAATTGTAGTGTTTTTGACGAAATTTTGAAACATGCACCGGGCCCCTAAATTTGACTAAATTAAACTCTATCAACAGAACTATTCACATCCTTTGCGTCAATATATAATGGAATGTGAAAAAATTGCGGAATTCGAAGATAACACCATCAATGGAGTTCAATAAATGTGTAATGTACATGTGCAATAAATTAAGTAATTTCTTCACGATGATGTGCTAACGGAAATCCCAGGCATTGATCGCGACCATAATGATAATGATGATGGGTATGACGATTAATTATCAACAATACCATATTATTATCAATGCTCGAACTACTACGAGCATTTCATTCACGTAGCTATTTGACCTTCCTTATGTCTCGATAAGAAAGAGTTTTCCGAGTGCACACGTCACACAGGGGTTACATAGGTCAATGAGGCTTCCGTGTATTAAGTACGTGAAACGAACGCCCATCAGTGCCAAGGTCCGAGAGAAGAAAACATCGCAAAACCTAATTGTTCAGGTATGAATCGCGGTGTTTAGTGTTCATTCCAGCCAACAAACAGAATTGACTTGTTAACTATTTCAGTATGTTGAAGGCTTTTGGAACTGAAGGTTGCCGGTGTTGTGTGCCTGGAATATCAGATCAATACGAGGAAATACTTATGAATGTGTTTTTGAATACTACCTTCGTGCCACCACCTTTGACCCAGGTTGAGGCACTGGTGACTGCTACCGTCGATATAAAAGGCGCGACGCTTCTTCTTGAAGTCAGTTCACTTGGAGCCTTGCTACAGCCAACATTATGGTAAGACATAATTTACTTGAAGACGTTTGACTATTAAAGTAGAAAAAATTAATTGGTAATATTTTGCTACATTGTTGAACATTAAAATCTATAATGGAACAAGTAGTAGATAGAGTGTCAACATATATTATCCGCAGTATATGCGGGTATTTGATGTATTGGGTATATTTGTCATAAAGTTAAACTCACACTCTTTTTATTTTCAGAAGGTAATGACACTGTCGATGAGCGTTGCCCTCCTGGTGGCCTGCTCTTTTGCTGAACCTGATGCAAGTTCCTTCTCCACTTACCCTTACGTAGGTGGAAGCTATGCGCTTTCCAGTTCAGGCATTGGAGGAGGCTTCGGCTCATTTGGTGGGGGAACACGTTACGGTTCCTTTGGAGGTGTTGGTGGAGGCTACGGTTTCGGAAGGGGCCCCACGAGTCATTCCATTTTCAACTTTGGAGCGCCCCAGGGTAGATATGGAGGCAGTTTTGGACGCGGCTTCGATAGAAGTTACATCGGAGGATCCTCTGGCCTAGGTTTCGCTGGTAACTTCCAAGGTTGAAGACTCAGTAAAAACTCCTTTCGGAGTTGTTACAGTGGCAGCTTCATTGGCAGTGTTTAAGGTAGCGGCTCCACTGGCAAAGTCGGTGTTTTATATTGGAAATGAATACGGGAAATGTACGAACAGGTGAACGTATAGATTCAAGAAAGTCTGACACCTTATCGTTATATATATTTTTTGGTTCAGCACTCACAAAACAACTTTCGTATAAAATAATTTCAAATAAAAAATTTAAAGTAAATTTAAGTGCCGTTTGATATGACGGTATAAGTCCCAGTCGTATGAAATTGGACTAAATACATATCAGTAGCATTCATGTCTGAATCAAGGTCCGAATATGCACGTCTTTTTTGTATTTGATTATTATTGATGTATTTTAGAAGCAAAAATAAAGATTTGTATTATGAATATTGTTTTATTGCGTTAAATCATTGATTATTATAATAAAGGTGTATATCTGCCAGCCACTGAAGCAAGGCTCAGAAATTGAACAATAAATTGACCGATGAAGCTTAAATGCTGAAAATGAATGACTCACAGGATTGATAATGGAGATAAAGTTAAAATATGTCATCCGGATAATGCTGAAATTTCGATGTATTATTGCGTAAATGATCTATAGTCATAAGTTATAATTAATAATTCACTGCTTTGTGATTAATACATTACGAGAATTTTGTGGAACTATTGAGCTATCGTTTAAATGATGAGCATGAAGTGCAAAATACCCATATGATGAGCAAAGAATGAGGAGCAACTAATTATTACGCATAGAGAATGAATAATAATCAATTATTGAGCAAATAGGCTCTACATTATGCAATTGATGGGCATATAGGCAGCACAGTAACGAAACAAGGAACATGCGTGGCTAAATAACCAAATGAACTAGAACCTGCCAGTAAGTTTTGTAAATGGACCTGAGGAAGATATAATACATGTGAAAACAAGTAAGAATAAAAAATATTATTTAGGCTGCTTAGTCCATAGGTAAGGATATGTATTTAGTGAAAGTCTTATGGCTATAACCTCAGTCTAAACTATAACAATAACACATATATTTGATTGAAACGATTTTCTACCATTGATACAACATAGTATCGGGTTAGATTTCCTTTCACATTGTTCTTCGAATGCATGATAACATTGATGAGTTAGCCAAAATCTTTACTCATTAAGATGGAATTGATAACTATCCAGGACTGCCTTTGAACAGACTGAGGTCAGTAATATTCCGGGAACATCAACAAACTCTCGTAGACTAGAGGCAACATGAAATTCACACCAGTTACTCCATTTACTATAATTCTATTAAGCAAGAATAACCGCACGTTTATGGGCCATCCAATAAGGTTAGCAGTCTTCAAGAATATTACCAACGCTAGTATTAGTCTCAGCTATAAGTACCTTTGGGAGGTTGCAACATTTGATTTTGTAGATTTGACAAAATGTAAACTCTGTTAGCAAAACTAATTAGATATTTTGCGTCATTATTTAATGGAATGATAAAAAATCGCAGAATTCAGAAATAACACCATAATTGGAGTCCAAGAAATGAGCAATATTTTATTCATGATGATGTGTTGCCCAAAATCTTAGCATGGTATTCAAAATTTGCTTTTGCAATTTTTTTTGCAGGTATATTCCTGCGTGGGACCTAAACTGTTGGTAACGCATGCACATGACTGTAAAGCTGCTGCCTACTTGGGTAGGCTTGACTAGTAACTACGTAACTCACTGTATGTATAAAGTGCCTTGAAAAGTGACTGTTGTGAGTCTCTTGTTGAATCACTTGTGATATAAAAAGATTAGTGACATGTATATATGAATTTGATTAAATGACTGTATATATATGTACATGTGTTTGTAACAATAACAATTGTGTAACTAGCTTCAAAAGATTGTCAATTGCTTAGCTGAATAAACTATGGGGTTCTGTTCCAGAACTGATAATGTGCCTCTGAAACACTTTCTACCACCGCCCACGGGATGGGTATAGGGGTGCATAAGGAAAGAAATAATCATTCGTTATTGAATAAGCAGCACAGCTCAAATTAAACTAGCAGATGAACTAGATCTTGTTACTGAACTTGTAAAAGACAAATAAAGTCTGAAAATTTGTTTACTTCAAATCAGAGTGCACGTGTTTGACACTTAAATGACAAAATAACAACACTGAAAATTCATATTCAATGGTATTCTCATGAATGGTTTAGCTTCTGAAGGAAATACATATGAGATTGCATTCCTCTTTTATACCATCGCATTATGGTATTTGGAGGCTTGATACTTTTGACATGCTTAAAAAAATATACCTCCCAGGAGATTAGTATTAAATGCATATATAAGTATTTCATTAACAATGATAGTGAACACTGAAGTAAGTGTCTGATGAAAATCTCGCTGACAGATCAAATACATAAAGCCTCAAAGATTCAGCATTAAAACTTATAATGAATACTGTTACGAAATGTTTAGATATGGAATTAATAAACCAAGAACTCGTTAACGAGATGTTTTAGTTGGTCAGATATGCAAAGATTACTGGCGTTTGTGGAGCTTTTTCTGCAGTGTGACGGGGCTAGTTTGTGACGCAAAAGTCTGCCTGTATGATGGGGTTTGATGGTAGGAGTCTGGATGTATGCTAGAGTGTAACGGTAGGAGTCTGGATGTATGGTATGTTTGAGTATGATGGTTGGAGTCTGGATGTATGCTGGAGTGTAACGGTAGGAGTCTGGATGTATGTTTGAGAGAGATGGTAGGAGCATTGATGTATGCTGAAGTGTGACGGTAAAGGTTTGGATGTATGCAGGAGTGTGACGTTAGGCGTTTTGATATATGCTGGAGTATGACGGTAGGGACCTGGATGTGTGCTGGAGTGTGACAGTAAGAGTCTGGATTTATGCCAGAGTGTGACGGTGGGAGTAAGGATGTACTGTACCCCTGGAGTTTAACAGCGGGAGAATGGAAGTATATTGAAGTGAGATTGCAGGGGTCTGGAAGGATGGTGTTGTGCAACTGTAGCGATCATAATGTGTGTTGGAGTATGTCGTAGGAGTATTTATTCAAATTAAACTATGGGGATTGGAGTATTAATATTATTAATGGAGTGACTTTGAGAATCTGGATATATAATAGAGTGTGAAGTTGGGAGTCTAGATGTATGCTGCAGTGCTATGTTGGTGCTCTGGAAGTATGCAGGTGCCTGAATTTGAGTCTGGATGTACACTGTAATGTGACAGTTGTGGAATACATGGCAATTGGGCGAGTGTCACAGGGATAATTTTCAATGTTCTCTCCCTGTTTGGCCCAGTCAATGGTCGCTATCATATTGATGATGGACATGAAGATTAATTATCAACAATACCATATTATTATCAGTGCTCGAACTAATACGAGCATTTCATTCACGTGGCTATTTGACCTTCCTTATACCTCGATAAGAAAGGGTTTTCCAAGTTCACACGTCACACGGGGGGCTACATAGTTCAATGAGGGTTCCGTGTATTAAGTACGTGAAGCGAACGCCAATCAGCGCCAAGGTCCGAGAGAAGAAAACATCGCAAAACCTAACTGTTCAGGTATGAATCGCGGTGTTTAATGTTCATTCCAGCCAACTAACAGAATTGTCTTGTTAACTTTTTCAGCATGTTGAAGGCTTTGGAATTGAAGGTTGCCGGTGTTATGTGCCTGGAATATAAGATCAATACGAGGAAATATTTATGAATGTGTTTTTGAATACTACCTTCGTGCCACCACCTTTGACCCAGGTTGAGGCACTGGTGACTGCTACCGTCGATATAAAAGGCGCGACGCTTCTTCTTGAAGTCAGTTCACTTGGAGCCTTGCTACAGCCAACATTATGGTAAGACATAATTTACTTGACGTTTGACTATTAAAGTAGAAAAAATTAATTGGTAATATTTTGCTATATTGTTTAACATTAAAATCTATAATAGAACAAGTACTAGATAGAGTGTCAACATATATTTCACTCAGTATATGCGAGTATATGATATATTGGGTATATTTCTCTTTAAGTTAAACTCATACTTTTTTTTATTTTCAGAAGGTAATGACACGGTTGATGAGCGTTGCCCTCCTGGTGGCCTGCTCTTTTGCTGAACCCGATGCAAGTTCCTACTCCACATATCCTTACGCAGGTGGAAGCTATGGGCTCTCCAGTCCAGGCATTGGAAGAGGCTTCGGCTCATTTGGTGGGGGAACACGTTACGGTTCCTTTGGAGGTGTTGGTGGAGGCTACGGTTTCGGAAGCGGCCCTACGAGTCATTCCATTTTCAACCTTGGAGCACCCCAGGGTAGATATGGAGGCAACTTTGGACGCGGCTTCGATAGAGGTTACATCGGAGGATCCTCTGGCCTAGGTTTCGGTGGTAACTTCCAAGGTTGAAGACTTTGTAAAAACTCCTTTGGGAGTTGTTATGGTGGCAGCTTCATTGGCAGTGTTCAAGGTAGCGGCTCCACTGGCAGAGATGGTGTTTTATATTGGAAATGAATAAGGATACGAACAGGTGAATGTATGAATTAAAGAAAGTCTGACACCTTGTCGTTATATATTTTTTTTCTTCAGCACTCACATACCAACTTTCGTATAAAATAATTTCAAATAAAAATTTAAAAGTAAATTTAAGTGCCGTTTCATATGACGGTATAAATCCCAGTAGTATGAAATTGGCCTAAATACATATCAGTAGCATTCATGTATGAATCACGGTTCGGAGATGCATGACTTTTTTCCTATTTGCTTATTATTGATGTATTTTAGAAGCAAAAATAAAGATTTGTATTATAAATATTGCTTTTATTGTGTTAAATCATTGATTATTATAATAAAGGTGTATATCTGCCAGCCACTGAAGCAACACTCAGAAACTGAAAAATACATTAACCGATGAAGCTTAAATGCTGAAAATGAATGACTCACAGGATTGACAATGGAGATAAAGTTAAAATATGTCATACGGATAATGCTGAAATTTCGATGTATTATTGCGTAAATGATCTATAGTCATAAGTTATAATTAATAATTCACTGCTTTGTGATTAATACATTACGAGAATTTTGTGGAACTATTGAGCTATCGTTTAAATGATGAGCATGAAGTGCAAAATACCCATATGATGAGCAAAGAATGAGGAGCAACTAATTATTACGCATAGAGAATGAATAATAATCAATTATTGAGCAAATAGGCTCTACATTATGCAATTGATGGGCATATAGGCAGCACAGTTACGAAACAAGGAACATGCGGGGCTAAATAACCAAATGAACTAGAACCTGCCAGTAAGTTTTGTAAATAGACCTGAGGAAAATATAATACATATGAAAACAAGTTGCAATAAAACATATTATTAAGGTTGCTTAGTTTATAGGTAAGGACATG